CTCAGTAATTCGCTTGAATTTCCTAAATGCAGCTTCATCATTCTGCAGATCTTCAAGGCTCACTTCAAACACACGGCCCTGAAGGCCACAGGATGCAATTTAGGTTCCTTGAGTCCTGGTGACTAGTGTTTTTCCAGTATTTCTTATGTTGATCATAGCAGGTGCTTTCATGTCACACCAGTCTTTTTTATGAACTGGATCAGCCACTTTTTTTTTTTGGAGAGATTTTCACTGTAGGGCGCGTGCGCTCGCCAGACAGACAGAGAGACATAGAGACAGAAAGCGAGAAATCACCCCCCAGGGGGGATGGTCACGCCGCAATCCCTTCTCCTCCATTCTCCTCTCGGGATCTTGGGCACGCACGCACACGCGCCCGGCGTGAGTTTTAAGCCACCGGGCCCGGGACGCGAACCGCGGTCGACTACGTGGGAGTCCAGCGACATAGCCATTACGCTAACTGCTGGTTCCCTTGATCAGCCACTTTCTTGTTGGCTCCTTTTGTGCCGCCTTTCGTAAGGCACTTACTCTTGCCAACCACCACGGCACTGCTCAGAGAGCCAAAGGTGGAAGTCCGCTCAGTGTTACGACTCTACCAAACTCTACCACTTGTACCTATAGGGAGAGAGATGGGAATGGCATGGCAGTGAGTCAGCATGTGTTCCTCGAGCACCCACACTTTGCCAGACACTGTTTAGGCCCCTAGCAGTGAGTATTAACAAGGCAGTCGGGCCCTGCCATCATTCTGGTGTGGAAAAGCAGACAAGCGAGAAAGCATGTCCAGTAGGAAAAAGGGCTGTAATTCATTAAAGTAGTCTGGTACAAGAGGCAGTGACTGGGAGAAACTTAATGGTCAGAAAAGGCTTCCCTCTCTGGCAGTAACATCGAGACCCAAAATAAGGAGCAAATCAAGTGAAGATGTAGGGGAAGAATATTGTAGAAAGCAGGGACAGTGGGAAAAGTGAGCAAGCATGAAGAAAGAAAGAGCTTTGTATGTTCAGAGAACAAGAAAAAGGTCAGTGTGGTAGGAGGTCAGAGATGAGGCCCGCAGGATCATGGGGGCCAGGCAGACTTGAGGGGAAGTAGTTTAGGTTGTATGTAAGTGCTTTGGGTAGATTGGAAAGTTGTTTTTTTTTTTTTTTTTAAGAGTTTTTTTTTTTTTTTTTTTTTTAGAGGTTTTTGCTGTAGGTGTGTGCACTCGCCAGAAAGACTGAGAGAGTCAGAGACAGAAAGCAAGGAATCGCCCCCCCTTAGGGGGGATGGCCATACTGCAATCCCTTCTCCTCCATTCTCCTCTCAGGATCTTGGGCACATACACACACACCTGGTGTGAGTTTAAGCCACCAGGTCCAGGCCTCAAACCGTGGTTGACTACATGGGTGTCCAACGACATAGCCATTACGCCAACTGCTGGTCCCTTAAGAGATTTTTGTGGGACCAGCGGTTAGCGTAATGGCTATGTCTCTGGACTCCCACGTAGTCGACCACGGTTGGCGTCCCGGACCCGGTGGCTTAAAACTCACGCCAGGCGCGTGTGCGGGCGCGTGTGCGAGCGCGTACGCGCCCAGGGTCCCAAGAGGAGAATGGAGGAGAAGGGATTGCAGCGTGGCCATCCCACTGGGGGGGTGCTTTCTCCCTTTCTGTCTGGGTGATTTCTCACTTTCTGTCTCTCTCTGTCTGTCTGGCGAGCGCACGTGCCCTGTAGCAAAAACCTCTAAAAAAAGAGAGAGATTTTTGCTATAGGGTGTGTGAACTTGCTGAAGAGAGAGCCAGAAAGCAAGAAATCACCCCCTGGGGGGGATGGCCATGCTGCAGTCCCTTCTCTTTTATTCTCCTCTTGGGATTTTGGGCAAGCATGTACTTGTACCTCATGTGAGTGTTTTTTGTTTGTTTGTTTGTTTGTTTGTTTGTTTTAATAGAGATTTTTGCTATAGGGCATGTGCGCTAGCCGAAGAGACAAAAAGCGAGAAATCACCCCCAGCAAGATGGCCATGCTGGAATCCCTTCTCCATTTTTCTCTCAGGATTTTGGGCACACACACTCACATGACTGGTGTCTTTTAGCCACTGGGCCCAGGACTCGAACTGGGGTCAACCGTGTGGGAGTCCAGCGATGTAACCACTAAGTCATCTGCTGGCACCCTGCTGGGGCTGGGACTTGAACCACAGTTGACTGTGTAGGAGTCCAACAACGTAATCATTACACCATCTTCTGGTCCCAGATTAGAAGGTTTTAAGCAGTACAGGACTGTTTTCTGTTAGAAAAATATTAATAAGGTTGTTGTATATAGAGAAGTTTTAAAATTCTGTAAGATTCTTTTTTTTTTTAAGAATTTTTAAATTTAACTTTATGTATTCATTCATTTATTTTAATTTTACCAGAGAGAGAGAGAGAGAGAGAAAGCAAGCTGCCAGGGCCAGGACTTGAACTGCAGTCAGCCATATGAGAGTCCAGTGCCCTTAACCACCATGCCACCTGCCAGCCCCAATATTCTTTTATTTTTAATGCAATATTCTTTTTTCTAAAGAACTACTTAATCTTATTTATTTATTTATTTATTTATTTATTTTGGAGAGATTTTTACTATAGGGCGCGTGTGCTCGCCAGACAGAGAGAGACACAGAGACAGAAAGCGAGAAATCACCCTCCAGGGGGGATGGTCACGCCGCAATCCCTTCTCCTCCATTCTCCTCTTGTGGGCACGCACGCACACACACCCGGCGTGAGTTTTTTAAGCCACCGGGTCCGGGACACAAACCGCGGTCGACTACGTGGGAGTCCAGCGACATAACCATTACGCTAACTGCTGGTTCCTTTTATTTATTATTTTTTATTATTATTTTTTTAATTGCCATAGGGCACGTGCATTCACTAGAGAGACAGACAGAGAGAACATAAGAAAAGAAGCCACCAGGTTCAGGACTTGCACCATGGTTGGCTATGTGAGAGTCCAGGGCCTTAAGCACCAAACCTCCTGCTGGCTCCTCTGAAACATTTAAGTTTTTATTTATTTATTTATTTATTTATTTATTTATTTACTTGCTATGGGGCACATGTGCTCACCAGAGGGAGACAGAGAAAGAGGGAAATGAGAAAGCATCCCCCAGGACCAGCAGGTGGCATAGTGGCTAAGGTGCTGGACACTCCCACATGGCTGACCACGGTTCAAGTCCTGGGCCTGGTGGCTTGCTTTCTCCGTTTGCCTCTCTCTATCTATCTCTCTCTGTGTCTTTCTCTGCTCAAATTAAGAATAAATGAATGAATAAATAAAATTAACTTAAAAAGTAATTATTAAAAAAAAGAAAGAGAGAGAGAGGAAGCACCCCCCCAAGGGGAATAGCCATACTACAATCTCTTCTTCGTTCTCCTCTCAAGATTTTTGGGCATGCACACGTGTCCAGCTGCCAGGTTGAGACTCGAACCGCAGAGTTGGCCATATGGGATCTAGCCACATTTGCCACCACCACACCACCGACTAGCCCAGATTTCTTAAGTTTTTAATGTGATATCCTTGGCCTGAAATCTTTTTTTTTTAAAGAATTATTTTTATTTAGCTTTTTAATTTATTTTTTAATTTGACCAGAGAGCAAAAGATTGAGAGAGCCTGAGATCCTGATTCCTTTCTGGAGGTGGTACCTAGCAGCTTCTAGACATTTGTCCTTCACAGTTCCTCCCCTTCACATGAAGGCCAATGGCATGCCGACCCTTCCTTCAAGATGGCCTTACCTAAGCTCCTGACCAGTAGGCCTGCGAAAACAAAATAATAGGATTGGAAATGCCTTCGGCATGGACTTTGTCCTGAAATGGAGTGGCTGAAGAGCCCTGGTGGATAGCGACTTAAAGCTGGGTGGGCAACGGGAGACTGCAGCTGAGTTTTGTTGCATACAAAATTGTTTTTCATTTGATTCCTTGAGTGTGTTTTGATTTTTTTAAAAAATGTCTCATTCAAGGGATCAGCAGATGACATGTTTACATTGTTGGACTACCATGTAGTCAGCCAAGGTTCGAGTTCCAGACCCAGCGGCTAAAAATTCACACCAGCACATGTGCATGCATGCCCAGAATCCCAAGAGGAGAATGAAGGGGAAGGGATTGCAGTGTGGCCATCCCCTTAGGGGTGATTTCTCACCTTTTGTCTCTCTGTATCTCTGTCTCTCCAGCGAGCGCCCGTGCTTGATAGCAAAAATCTCTTCTAAAAGAGTTTCATTCAGGTACTATACGCGTGCGCACACACTCACACTCACTTTGAGTGCCTTTAGGCAGGTCATCCCTTCCCATTTAACACCAGCCTTACTATTTTTTGGCTTACATCCAGCCCCAGTTCATAGATTTGTGTTAGTGCCTGGGCCCCTGGGCACCTTCAAGTGTTTAATGATTACCAAGTGTGCCCTCTTTAAATATAAAGCACTTAAACTATAAAAAAACAGGAACAACAACAGGTACTACTCAGACAAATGAAATATTAGGTGCTGTTTTACAGTGTTTAAAAAAGGAGGCTTGTGGCTCTTCAGGGTGGCACTGGCTGTCAAGGTGCTGTGCTCTGCAGGCTGGGACCACCTAGGAGGTCCGAGTTCAATTCCTGGTCCGACCGAAGGGCCAGGCAAGGCACAGTGGCAGGCACTTGGAATCCCAGCTACCTGGGAGGCTGAGGCAGGAAGACCATGACAGCAAGACCCTGTCTTAAATGGCGGGAAAAGGCATTTTTAAAGGTGAGGTCAGCAGGAGGAAGAAGAGTGCAGAGTGACCGCTGTGGAGCATTCTGTCCATTGACTTGGTCGTAGACATCTTCTACATGACAGGCCGACGGGTCCCACCCCTACTGAACTGGTGTCTCAGGGAACTGCTGGGGCAGCGGGAGCCTGGACTACACAGGACTTAGGCAGAACCTGGGGAGACTGCCCTTGGGTGGGGAAGAGTGTGATTGCTCTCCTGTCCCTGGTGCTGCAGGGTTGAAGGATTAGGCACACCAGCAAGCTTCTCCCCCTTCTTTTCCACATTCACAGGTTATCTCCTAACACCATGGTAACACCTCATAAGAAGAGCATGCTGGGAAATGGGAACTATGACGTGAATGTCATTATGGCAGCACTTCAGACCAAAGGCTATGAGGCCGTGTGGTGGGACAAGCGCAGGTAATCTGAACCAGAACGGCGTGGTTGTGGGTGAGCCCTGGCGTGAGTGGCAGTGACAGCCAGGGAATCTGGGGAGGTCGGCTACTGTGGCTGCTCTCCGACCTGACACTGCTGCTCTTCTGCAGGGATGTCGGTGTCATTGCTCTCACTAACGTGATGGGCTTCATCATGAATCTGCCCTCCAGCCTGTGCTGGGGTCCACTAAAGTTGCCTCTCAAAAGGCAACACTGGATCTGCGTTCGAGAGGTGGGAGGGGCCTACTACAACCTCGACTCCAAGCTCAAGATGCCCGAGTGGATTGGAGGCGAGAGCGAGCTCAGGTAATCTCTACCTGTGTGGACAAGGTGCCAGCTCCTTCCTCGATAGGCTGGGGAGGTTGACGTCTTTGGTTATTTGACAGGAAATTAAATTCCTATCTCCAGGCCAGCAGGTGGCATGGTGGATAAGGTGCTGGATTCCCATGTGGCCAGTGATTTGAGTCCCAGACCTGTCAGCTTGAAAATCAAACTGGGTACATGTGCGTGAATGCTCCATGTCCCAAGAGGAGAAGGGGTTACTTACGGAGAGTGGCTGTTCCCCCAGGGGGTGATTTCTCACTTTCTTTCTCTGTCTCTCTCTCTGGCAAGCACATAAGATCTATGGAAAAAACCTTAAAAAGTAAATATCCTATCTCCTTGGTTCCTCTGCCTGCATCACTTAAAATCACAGACTCTCAGACTTGAAAGACCTTAATCTTTGTTCTTTTCCATGTTTATTTTATTCCTTTCATGAGAGATAGCCCCCTACACACATACGTGTGCAAGCACACGCAGTATTATCCTCATGCCACATTCCATCTCCAGTCTCAGCTAGCTCGGATCATGGCTATACCTGCCTGTGTATGGTGAGGTCCTGGCATGTGAACCCAGAACCTTCCTGTGTGGATCCATTTCTGTTAACCGCTGCACCACCACCTGGTCCCTGACCTTCTTAGCCCATCAGGACTAGTTCTTTGGAAAAGATTCTCAGTCTGGAATCCTGGCCTTGGATCTGGTGGGACTGACTTGATACTGTTCTCTCCACTTAATCTGTGATAACAGAATCGCCAGTTTAGAGGAAGGGTTAAATTTCCCTGGGACCAAAAAAGAATTAAAAAAAAAAAATCTCCTCTTGGGATTTTGGGTTCGCACACCCACGCCCTGATGTGTTTTTCAAGCTGCGTAGTTCAGAACTCAGACTGCCCAGCCAGCTGTGTGAGATCCAGCCACTTATCACCGTACCACCGGCTGGCCCAAACATCTTTAGAGTTTGGGTTCTCAAGACCAGCAGATGGTGTAGTGATTACAACACTGGACTCCCACATGGCGGGTGGTTCGAGTCCTATACCTGGTAGCTTGGAAATCATGCCAAATGAGAGCACATATAAAACAACAACAACAAAAACCACGCTTTAACAAAAGGAAAATCATGCAGAACATGTATGCATGTCCGCCCAAGATCATGGTGAAGGGATTGCAGCATGGCCATCCCCCCAGGGGGATGATTTCTCTTTCCCACTCACTGTCTCTGGCTCTCTCTGGCTCTCCAGCGAGCACACGTGCCCGAAGGCAAAAACCTCTAAAAAACAAAGAAAACTCTCAGCAGATATGCCTGTCTTTGGCATAAATGCAAGCTATTCAAAAGTTCATAGAAAATTCATATCATGAAAAAATTATGCAAGGATTTCGAATTTTTTTTTTTACCAAAATAAATTTGTACTGTAATTCTGGCTCTCTCTCTCTTCCTCTCTCTCTCGGGGTACTTAAGACAAAAACCCCTAAAAATATATATTTTTTAAAAAAAAGAATACTTTGAGCTCTCATCCTTATAACTAATATTAGCAGTATATATGAGAAAGAACATAAATTCACATTGAAATTCTAACTGGACAGACGGGGGGTTATACCAAATGTGGAGCTAAGAACAGAGCATCGCTAGAATTCTCGTGGGACTGCCAAGATTTCTGAGGGTTTTTGGCGAACATGTGGCTCCGAGACTAGAATTTGCTACTCACCAGCATTTCATCTTCTCTCTCATCTATTCCGTGTCCTATAGGAAATTTCTCAAACATCATTTGCGAGGAAAGAACTGTGAACTCCTGCTGGTGGTACCAGAAGAGGTGGAGGCCCATCAGAGTTGGAGGGCTGACGTGTGACCCAGTTCGGCCCTACCTTCTCCTTGCCTCAACCCCTCCAGTCCTCTGTGATATGCTGTGGCCTCCATGGTGGGCCTGCCCTTGCCACCTTCCCAGACATCTCATCGGGGATCCCCCAGTCCCCAGATTTGATAGTGCAATAGGACAGAGGTGTGGACTGTTACAAGAACCACCCAGCGTTGTTTGTTCCTGGGAAAGGGAGGCAGGAGTTCCATGGGCTTAGGGCAAGGGATCGAAAGCTTTGTTTTATTTAAGAGGGAGAAAGAGAAAGGTGGGTCCTAGTTTATTTTTCCCTTTCCCTGAGGTTTGCTGGAGTTGTCCTTGCTGCTCCACTCCTGTCACATTAGTGGGTCTGAAGACATAGTATATGTAAAGCCCACGTGACTGGTTTGAAGAGCAGACGGGTCTCAGGAAACCCATCTCCAAAACCCTGGCAGCAGTCGACATGCTGTCTTGGACTCTGACACCACCCCTCCTCCCCATTTTTAAGGGTGGTTTATGGCCAGCCTTAGTTTTATAATGAAAAAGTCTCATATTCCAAGCCGGGTGATTGAATCCCACAGTATTCTAGCGTGACGGGTGTGAGATAAGAGACCCGGGAGGATATGGCCAAAGCCCAGCTGGAGCTGACGTGCATGGCTGGTTTCTTCACTCCAGTTCTGCCCCTACTGTTTGCCTGCATTGACTTAGGAGGCTCGGGAAAAACAGGCAAAGGGACACTTCTGTCAACTGGCCTGCTCTGGAAAAAGCAGAGAAAAACTAAGTCTGCCTTTCACATCAAATTCCACTAGTTGGGTGAGGAAAATAACATTGGTAAAGTCCTAGGGGCAGAGGCCGAGAAAGCCCTGGAGCTGGGTGGGTCTGTGCATTGCATTACAGGATCCAGGTCGGTCATCTTCATGTAGTTTCTTTACGAATCAACTGAAGATTGACCTGACCCCTACCTCTCAAAATAGTTGTAGGCCACTTTTCTCCTGTAACTTTGGAAAATGAGACAAAGAAGGGCAGCGTGTATGGTACCACGTCACCAATGTGGTGTGGTTGCTTCAGGGCCGGTGGGTAGGCAGCAATGACCCAGCTTCCCCTCAGGTGGAAGGCCGATGGTCCGGGCAGGTCTGAGAGCCACCCTGCTGGCCAGACTTCTCTCCAGCGGCAGAACCAGCCTGGGGCTTGCATGTCGATCCTGAGCAAGCTTCACGGGGTGAGCCGAGGCTTTCTCCCCCTCTGACTGGAGTGCATGTTTACACCAGCACTTTTCTGCACATGTATCTTCAACGAGGCCATTTTTTACGCTGAGTAACAGAGGCCACCAAGCGGCTCCTGCATTATGCTCTCAGCACTGGCCGCAGTCTCTCCTGCAACTTTCTACACCAGACCTGCTTGGCACTACAGGGAGCTCTACCCTGCACAATGACATTCCAACCACCACCAGCCGGAAGTTCCAGCCAGCCTTGCTGATCGTCACAAGCAGGACCATGGGTCCATTGGCACTGTCAGTGATAGTAAGCCATTTCCTGGGAAGAGGGAAACTCTTCTCCACAATCTGCTTGGGCCTGTGCAAATGGCACTTCAGAGTCCCCATGCACTTGGAGTCCTTGAGCCAATGGGATATGCAAAGACGCTTAAACATTTCAGGGCTGGTTTCTCTGTTCATATCCAATTCTGGTGCTTAGGAACAGGGACCCATGCTGATGCCTAAGGGCAAAAAGCCCCACTTCCTTTAAGAAAGGGAGCAGGCCTGACCCTGATGCCCAATAAGGGGCAACCCTAGGCTTTTTGTTTTTCTTGCTTTTATTCCCTTTTTTTGTTGGCCTTGTGCTGGGTTTGTTTACAAAAGATGTATTTTGTTTAATCAAATATTAAAAATGGAAAACTCCGTACATGAACTTGTCTGCCTGAATTCTGTAATTATGTAAAGGAAGAAAAATAAACTTTAGTGTAATGTTGCTTTAAAAGAAATGCATTACCACTGTAAGTCATTTGGAAAGAGGCTGTGATCAAACCTCTCACATGAAAAATCCACTTAGGTGAGATTTGGTTCAAAAGAGCTGAGGGCATTTTTCAGTTTACCTCAATTTACAAGTTAGGCCTGACAATTCCAATGGAACACTCCCTGCTGCCTCCCCATCTACTAAGTACAGATTGTACCAGTGACCTAGATTACCTCACTTCCAGGGTGCATGGCAGGGTTCTGTCGTCCAGACCCTGCATTTACCACATGGTCTTATATAAACTGTATACTTTCTGGGCTGTTTCCATTTCTGTAAAATATGGCTGCTACAAGAGGCTGCTTAGCACAAGGTTTAATAACTCAATGGAAAAGCTGCCAGGTCTTCTATTCCGCAGAACAGCTGGGTTCATCTTCAGTGGCTCTTCTCAGCAGTCAAAACTAGGTCACACCACGATCTGCAAACCCTCTCCCTAGTCCTCCAGACTAGAAATCAGTACTGTTAATCCCTACAAATGTATTGTGTCGCCAAACTACCACACACAGACCCAATCCTGTTTTAGGTGGTAGACCTGAAAATAACTGAATTCAGGACAAAGACTGCTATTTAGAGGTCCCTGGCCAAAATTTTTTTTTCACTTTTGGAAAGTTTAAGCCGGGCCATCAGGGTCAAATCTGCTAAAATGGAGGTGCTGGCTTAGATGAAATGTGAGGGGCAGTATGGCCTCTGACCTGAAACAGTCTAAGTAACTTCAAGGTACTCAACACAAGCACATGAATGACACTTTAGTTGGGATTGTTTTTATTATTTAAATACAAAAAGTGAGCACTGACTGTTTTTACACACAGGCATCTGACAGCCACAATGAGCAGAGCACAGGAGCTCTTGGTTCTACAGTCCGCGTCCCGCTGCTGAAGCTGCAGCTAGCTGCCTCCAACACGGGTTCACTGTGGCCACATGACACTACAGCTGTAATGCCTTTTGTCTGTCATGTGTGCATGTCCCTCCCCAGTATCTCCATTCTTTAAGGAAAACAAAAACAAAAACATACATTAAAAGTCAGGGCATCAGTTCCTACCCCACAAGATAGTAAGATCCTCCGGTTAGGAGCAATTTAGTGAAAGGAGTGGGGTGGCCAGAGCTGAAGTAATCGTCTGCATGGCTGTACTTTGATGTCAGAGTGAGGACAGATGAAATAGGGCTGTGTGGAGGATACAGTGCAAGTTGGGAGTCTCTCCAGGAGACAATGTGGGGAGAATTAGTCCCTCCAGGTTTAGATAGGTCAACGTACCAGCCAAAACAAAACAAAACAAATCCAAATAATCAGCAGTTCAAACACTATTCAATTTCTAGCTTCTTCCACCAAGACAGTTTAAGCAGTAACAATCTAGATCTTTCCAGGAAGTGAAGGTAGAGCCCCTGGCATTCCTCCCGAGAGGCCGGTGTTAGGCCCTAGAAGTATCTGGAAAAGAAAAGGGGGGGGTGTAAGGCAATGCACCCCCCAAAATCTTATAATCCTAATACCTAATAGGGCAGGCAAGGTCTGCAAAAACTATGCTAAGAATATAGGTACCCACAAAAGGATGGGCCTGATGCCATTTCTCTACCCATAAGAAATGCAAATCTACCCAAGTAGAGTAAAGAAAGAAACAGCTTGCATCTCCACCAGTGGCAAATAAGCAGGGAATGTGGGCTCACCTGCCGCTGCTGCAGTTGCTGCTGTTGCTCCATTTGCAACTTCTCAGTCTCAAAGACAACAGGAAGAACCAGGATCATAAACGAAGTGGTCCCAATCCACAAAGCTGCCCTTGAAAACCTGCAGAGAGAGTGTGAGCATGCGGCAGCTTGAATCGTTTTAAAAAGCCCTCACTCGACATACTCCAATGTTCTTCTAAGAGCCTTCTTCCCACTCCTTGCACGTCCCCTACCAGACAGCAGCAGTACGTCCAGCAGCCCCCTTTACAAAAGGGACAATTGGGACACGGAAGATCAGAGTACAACCCACTCCAAGGTCACTCAAACCCAGATCTATACGCTCTTTCAAAGCACCGCAGTCCTCCCATGCACACCCCCGACGTCTCTGCCTTCGTCCCTTACCTGTACATTTTTTGAGCCACAAAGAGGGAGAGATCAAAAGTGGCTCCGGCTGCCGACCGAACCCTCTCCGGGAACATCTCCGTCAGACCCCACAGTCTCTCCGAGAGGGTCTCATCTAGCTGCGGTGGACGAGGCGCAGGTCTTGGCCGAAGCAGCGGCATCCACCCCCAGCCCTGTTGCGGCGCCCCGACACGCCGAGCTCCGCAGGAGCTGGGGCGCCCGCGGGCTCAGCGGGGGCTCTAACCCCGCCTCCGGGAGAAGACGCCTCCGCCGGGATCCCGCAGCACGAGGAGTCCGCACCCCCAGGCGAGCCCACCCCTCGACCCTCACCCTGCGCGGCCCAGTACCTCTTCGTCGTCGTCCTCTTCCAGCTCCTCTTCCGTCTTTTCTGCGTCGCCTTTCGGGAGCAATTCGTCCGGGGACAGGGGCGCCCCAGCGCCGACAGCAGCGGCGGCGGCAGCCCTGGATCGTGGGGACACCCTTAGTGGTGCGCAGCCGAACGCCGGGTAGAGCCGCCCTTCCGGGAGTCGAGACGCGTGTGGCCGGGAGAGAGCGGCGCCCTCTGGTCCGCAGGTCCTCCAGCTCCTCTCACCAGTGCGGCCGCGGGCGACTCCCCAGAACTTTCCGAGGTCGTACCGGGTTCTGCGACCTCAGGGGCAGGAGGAGCTGGGAAACTTTTGGAGCAGCGACTCCGGGTGCTTCCGTAGTCGTTCCGTACAGCGGGTTTAGGGCGTCCCGCACGCCTGCATTTTCACAAGCCTCCCTGGGATTCGGCGGAGACACGACTCCCGCCTCCATTTCATGGAGAGCGTTATTTGGTGGGAATAAATTAGCGATTCGGAGGCTTACTGTTCTTTTGGGAAAACATCAAGTAAACCATCTCGATGTACTACAAGAGTTCAGTCCTAGGCACCGGGGTGTGCGTGCGTGTGTGGGTATATACTCATTTAACCTTTGCAGCAACCCATTGAGGGAGGCATTATTATCAGTTTAAAAACGGGGAAATTGAGGCACAGTACAGGGTTGCTGCAAGTATTTCTAGAGGATAGATTTCTAGAAGTGGGTTTGCTGGCCAGAAAGCATGCGCATTTAAAATTTTACTAGGTATTAGGTAATTGCCCTCCAAGGAATTATATCCTTTTTTAAAAAATTTAAATCAGTTTTACTTAAGAATTTCCAACATTGACAACTCTTATAAAAGCATCCAGCACAGGACACAGAACTGCAGCAAACAGCATTCTTACTGGGTAGCTAACAGACATTAGAACTTCCACCCTTCTTGGAGACTCCTGAGCTCGCTGGTGACCTCTGCTTCGGACACCACCGGCTCAGTCCAGCTCCAGTTCTTTCAAAATAAGAAATGGAAGTGTCCTTTCCCCCACTCCTTCTCCAGCATTAGGTATTATCTATATGCTTTTCTGGCCATATGATTTTTATAAATGGTTCTTCTTATAATGTATCCTGCAAGTTGTTAATAAGGGGTAATTTGAATATACTTTTAGCCATTGACTGTGGGATCCGACAGTCTCAGATCGGACAGTCCAGATCTCTACCTGATGCATGACGACGTGCAATGAGCCTTCGTCCTGTGCTTATAAACCTCAGGGGGGCACTGGGGCTCATGGTTCCTCCTACTACAGCTCTCAGGCCTTTTCATCTTTGGACAGGGCAGTTCTGGCTACATGAAAGTTTTCATGTCACGAAGGGTACGTACTGTATAATTTATTATATAAAGTTCAGGAACAGGCAAAATGAGTATGTCCAGACATCAGGATAATTCCCTTTGAAGAGGAGAGGCTAGTATCTAGAAAGGGACAGGAGAACGGCTTCTGAGATGTGGGTGAGCTTCTATTTCTTGACCTGGATGATGTGCACATGGATATGTTCATTTTGGGTCATTTGTCAAGCTGTGCATTTATGAATTATGCTCGCTCTTTGTATATGTAAAATCTTATTTTTAAAATTAAATTATTATTTTAATTTGCTACAGGGCACGTACACTCATCAGAGAGAGAGGAAAAATGAGAAAGCAAGCTCCCAGGTCCGGGACTCAAACCATGGTTGGCCATGTGGGGTCTAGCGCCTCAACCACCAAGCCACCTGCTGGTTCCTAAAATCCTATTGTTTTTAAGTAATTGTTTTATTTTATTTTATTCATCAGTAGCTTTTTTTTTTTTCTTTTCAATTTGACTGGAGAGAGAGAGATAAAGTGAGAAAACAAGCCACCAAGTCCAGGACTTGAATCATGGTCAGCCAAGTAGGAGTCTAGCACCTTAACTACCATGCCACCTGCAGGCCCCTAGAATCTTATTTTTTAAAAAGTAGGATAGCTTTGCATAAATTCAAGGCTAGCTTAAGAGTTTAGTGCTGAGGCTGGAGTTTGATTTACTGAGAGTAGCTGCGCGCCCTGAACTTTCCCCATGGTTTCGGTGACCAGATCCGTGTTCAGAGAACTGCCCTCAGGGGCAGGGACCGTGGAGAATTCCAGCTGCAGTCAGATCTGCTGAGAGTGGACATCATCTCCTGGGGCTGCACCATTACGGCTCTGGAGGTCAAAGACAGGCAGGGGAGAGCCTCAGACGTGCTGGGCTTTGCCGAGTTGGAAGGATATCTCCAAAAGCAGCCCTACTTTGGAGCAGTGGTTGGAAGGGTGGCCAACCGGATTGCCAAAGGAGTGTTCACATTGGACGGGAAGGAGTATCCCCTGGCCATGGAGGAGTCCGTGGGTTTGATAAGGTCCTTTGGACCTCTCAGGTACTATCCAATGGCGTCCAGTTCTCCCGTGTCAGTCCTGATGGTGAGGAAGGCTACTCTGGAGAATTAAAAGTCTGGGTGACATACACGCTCAGTGGTGGGGAGCTCACCGTCAACTATCGCGCACAGGCCAGTCAGACCACGCCGGTCAACCTGACCAACCATTCTTATTTCAACCTGGCAGGCCAGGGTTCCCCGAATATATATGCCCATGAAGTCACCATAGAAGCTCATGCTTTTTTGCCTGTGGATGAAACCCTGATTCCAACAGGTTTGTGAATTTAAGCTTTCTGTGAGTATACATAGCTGGAGTGCAATTTGAGGAGGATTGAAAACTTCATATCCCTAACATTATTTTCCCAGGTGACATGCAAAAATGCCTATAATTACCATTACTAGTTATTTATTTTGGTTAAGGTCAAGTAACTACAGAATTAAAGACCCAAGCTAGAATACTTTCCAGAGGGAAAAGGGACAGTATTAATTAAGCAGCTGGAGTAACAGGTGTCAATCAGGACGTCTCAAGCAAACTGGGTCATAGAGTCATCCTGACTAGACCCCAAGATTTCTCTACTAAAATGCATGTCTGTTACTTTTTAGACCCTTAGCAGAGGTTAACTTACCAAATATTACCTCACAAATATAGAAAACTGATGGGACGTTAAGTGGTTTTGATAGAACAGAAAAAGGTAGAATGAGTTGTTCCCAGAGAAGACAAATGCAGGTAGGTCACCTGAGATACAGTTAGGGAAATGGAGTGGAACTGGGATGGTGGGAAGAGGAGAGACAAAATCACAAAGGAAGATGAAATGTTTCCACAGTCAAATTTTATGGGTCTGAGTATGTATGTGTGCGTGTGTGTGTGTGTGAGTACGTGTGTGTTTTCTAGTTTAACTGGACTGAGATCACCTTGGTTATTATCTGGGATGGCAAGAACCTGTTCAAATGGGCAAATGCATACAGACAAAAAGTAGGTTAGTGGATTGTCAGGGGCTGGGAGCAGAGAGGAATGGGAAGTGACAACGGGTAGATTACTTTCAGGGGTGATGAAAAATTAGATAGTGGTGATGGTTGCCCAACCTAGTAAATATACTAGACACCACTGAATGGTGTGCTTTCAAAGGGCACGTTTTATGGTATGGAAATATCTGAATTTAAAAAAAGAAAGAAAGGAACTGGTGCAATGGTATGCATCTATAACCCCAGCTCCATAAGAGGCTGAGGCAAGAGTATTGTGAGTTCAAGGCCAGTCTGGGTGATGTAGTGAGACCCTGTCAAAAAATGGAAAGAAGGAAGGAAGGAAAAAAATGGAAAAAAGACAGAAAAAGTGACCCTAAGTTCATGTCCAGGATTAAGTGGTGCAATTTTATATCAGATAATATGTACACTCCCATCTACCTCTAGGGGTCAGATGCATGGCAGCAAGATGACCAGTGGGGGTGCCATTTATCACTTACGGTAGCTTGTGGAAGTTAATTTGAAATAACTACCACCAAGCAGGAGATAAATATTCTTACTGGATTTCATTAAAAATGAGATATCAGGGGGCCAGCACATGGCATGGTGGTAAGGAGCTGGACTTCCAAATGGCCAACTGCAGTTTGAGTCCCAAACCCAGTAAAATGAAAATCACACGGGACACATGTGCATAACATGCCCAAAATCCCAGGAGGAGAATGGAGGGGAAGGATTGTGGCATGACCATCCTCTCTAGGGAGTGATTTCTCACTTTCCATCTCTGTCTCTGTCTTTGGCAAGTGAGTTTAGTGCTGAGGCCAGCAGGTTGCATAGTGGTTAAGGTGCTGGACTCCCACATAGTCAACTGTGGACCTGGGGCTTGAAACTCATGCGGGGTGCACATGCATGCATGCCCCAAATCCCGAGAGGAAAATGGAGAAGGGATTGTGGCATGGCCATTCCTGTGGGGGTTGATTTCTGTCTTTCTAATTCTCTGTCTCTCCAGCAAGTGCACATGCTCTAAAGCAAAAATCTCTCAAAAACAACGGCAAAATAAATAGTTTGGGGCCAGCAGGTGGTATAGTGGTTAAAGGCTCTGTACTCCCACATGGCCATCCATGGTTTGAATCCTGGACCTGGTGGCTTGCTTTCTCACCCCCTTTCTCTGTGTGTGCCTGTCTCTCCCTGGTCAAATTAAAAAATAATAATTAAGTTAAATAAAATAGTTCTTAAAAAATTCAGTGCCAATAGCTTTTAGTTTTATTTTTTAAAGAGTTTTATTTTATTTTATTTTTTGTTTGTTTGTTTGTTTTTGCTATAGGGCACATACACTTGCCAGAGAGACAGAGGTTGAGAAATCGCCCTCCAGGGGGGATGGCCATGCTGCAATCTTTTCTCCTCTGTTCTCCTCTTGGGACTTGGGGCATGCACACACACATGCCTAGCATGAATTTTAAGTCTCTGCGTTCAGGACTTGAACCACAGTCAACTATGTGGGAGTCCAGCGATGTAACCATTATACCATCTACCAATCCCAAGCTTTTTTTTTTTTTTCTGAGAGGTTTTGCTATAGGGCACGTGTGCTCGCCAGACAGACAGAGAGAGACAGAGAGATAGAAAGCGAGAAATCACCCCCCAGGGGGGATGGCCATGCCGCAATCCCTTCTCCTCCATTCTCCTCTCGGGATCTTGGGCACACACACACACGTGCCCGGCGTGAGTTTAAGCCACCGGGTCCGGGACTCGAACGGCGGTCGACTACGTGGGAGTCCAGCGACATAGCCATTATGCTAACTGCTGGTTCCCTGATCCCAAGCTTTGAGATTTAAGAGTTTTTTTTTTAAATAACTATTTATTTTATTATTTATTTATTCATTCATTGAATTTTTAATTCAACCAGAGAGAGACAGAGGGTGAGAGAGAGAGAGAGGGGAAGTGAGAAAGCAAGCCACCAGGTCCGGGACTCGAACCCCGGTTGGCCATGTGGGAGTGTCCAGCACCTTGTCCACCACGCCACCCGCTGGTCCCAAGAGTTCTTTTTAAGAAAAGTTAGATGGGTCAACCCAATAACTTAGGAGTTAAATGCAGTACGTAGGTTGCTGGATCCTACATGGCTGACTATGGTTTAAATCCCAGCCCAGGTGGCTTGGGGAAAAAACAAGCCAAGTGTACATGTGCTCAAAGTCCTGATGGGATAGAGAAATAGAAGACAAAGGATTGCGGTGTGACTACCCATGGCGGGGGGGGGGCTTTCTCTCTCTGTCAGGTGAGCACACATGCCTTCTGGCTATAAAAGGAAAAAAATCAAGCTAAAAGCACAACACTATGGGAGGTTGAGAGGGCACAGATATCAATGACTCCCAGTAGGAAGTAACTCATAGGGCCAGCAGGTGGCATGTGCTTAAGGGACTAGACTCCCACATGGCCAACCATGGCTTATGTCCGGATCTGGCAGCTTGAAAATGATGCTGGGCATGTGTGCATGCTCAAAATCCCAAGAGGGAAATGGAGAAGAGACTGGCATGGCCATCCCTCCTGGGGAGTTGATTTCTTGCTTTCCCTCTCTGTGTGTGTCTCTCTCTCTCACTCCAGAGAGCACACATGGCCTGTGGGGGAAGAGGAACACTAAACAAGCAAGCAAACATTTATGGCTGAAAAAGCAGTAAGTATAACATTGCCGGGGTTCAGAGAAACTCCGGAGAGTCATACAATGCAGAGTGTTTGAAACTTCAGGAGATGGGATGATCTAGAAACAGTAGGGTGAGAACGGAAGACAGGACAGAGCCCTGTGAAACTAGGCATTTAAAGGTCAGGGGATGGGGGGAGAACCAGTGAGTGTGGCATTACTGCAGGTTTCAGAGAAATGCTTGTGTGAGAGACTGCTCCAAGCCAAAGGTCACACCAATGGGCATGGAAGGGAGCCGGGAAGGGAGTAGTGATGTCCCATGCCCGGAGCACAGAGTCTTTGCCACTGCAGGGAGGAGGGACTTCCTGGGCTCCAGAACCCTGGGGCCTTCTAAATCCTCTGCTCCCATCCCTCAAGTCTATGACTTGTACCTTTTCTGTTTTTGTCCTGTTGAATTTGAAAACGGGGACATAGTAGTTCACTGGAGGGGAGTACAGGGTCCCTTCAAGAATATTATCTATGCTCTAAGCCCGCCCACGTACAGAGCACACGCTAGCCTGTTCATGTGCACTTGTGCACGCGGATCCCCTTGCTGAGACTCAAGCTGTAAGACTCCCTCTAATTATTGCCTCTGATCCTTCACTCCGCACACCTACAGAACTTGCTATTTCAGCTCTTCAGTGAGTCCTCCCTAGGCCAACATCCAGCACCAAAATTCACAAAGTTGCTGTAGTGATTACAAGAGATGTCAGGGAGAGGGCACCGTGCACACGGGTGCCCGTAAGGACAGACTCAGTAAATGAAAGCTGTGGGGAAGCAGAACTGCCAGACCCTGAAGGATATATCTGACTGAAGAGGTGAGGCCTGTATATAGCAGCAAGGGGCCGGCGCTGGCATGGCGGTCAAGGCGGCTGGGTCCCTGGCTGGCTGTGCAGTCTGAGCCCCAGACCTAGTGGCTTGAAAAGCATGCTGGGCATGTGTGCGTGTGCACCTGAAATCCCTAGAGAAGAAGGAAGGAAAAGGATTATAGTGTGGCCGTCCCTTCTGGGGGTGAGTTCTTACCTTCTCTCTCTCTCTCTTTCCATCTCTGGTGAGTGCACGCACCCTAATTAACAAACAAAATTGATGCCAAAAATGTTTTTTTTTTTTTTTCTGCCATAGGGACATGGCACTTGGGCACTCACGTGGGCACTCACATGGTCATGCCTGGTGTGTTTCAGGCTGACTGGGCCAGGGATTCCAACTGTTGTCAGCAAGTGGGATCCAGCTTCTCCTGAGCAGTGCACTATTTCTGGGCCACACTGACGACCCAGTGCCAAACTGTTTGGAAATACATGCGGTTTGTTCATAACATGCATTTTCCATGAACCATTTGGAGACCCTTCGTACAATCCAGTTTCTGATCCCCCCAGGGTCTGTTTCCTTATGTGCAAACAGGTGTGAAGAAAGTCCCTGTTTCCCAGGCCAAGCTGAGGGGCAAATGAGACAGCATGTGCGAAGTCCCAAGCCCAGTGCCGGGCCCATTACAGGCATTCCGAAACTGCTAACCACAGCAGCCATCCCTAGACTAAGGCTCCAGGCTCTGCCTCCACCCAAGGGCCCTCCGTCTTGACTGCACAGCCGAGTCTCCTCCTGCAGCCTGAGAAGCCCAGCTCACCCCAACTCAGACACAAATCCCAGAATAACTACTAGGTCCTGCCAGGTCCTGGCCAGTTCTAACTCCCCGAAGCGGGAGAGCAGGGCAATCTGATTGCAGACTCTGTTCCAGGTCAGCCTCAGACAATGTCCAAGAAAGCTGGAATTCTCTCCTGCAAGGGTGAAATGTCCCTACACTCTCAACATTGTCGTTTTTTTTTTTAAAAAGGTTTTTGCCTTAGAGTGCATGTGCTCCCTGGAGAAAGAGACAGAGACAATGAGAAGGAAAGTGCTCAATCTCCTGGGGGCGGGGGAGGGTAGCCATGTGGCAATCCCTTCTCCTCCATTCTCCTGGGATCTTGGGCACGTACACACATGTGCCGGGCGTGAGTTTGCAGTCACAGCATCCAGGAGTCAGTGGTCAGTCTGTTATCTATGCTCTAGGCCATCTGCTGGTCCCAACATTCTGTCTTTTGATAGAGCAACAAAAACTTAAGACTCCAGGCTCCGTTTACTTCTAGAGGAACTCGTGTTTCTTTCTTCAGTCACTTTAGCCACAGAGTGCTTATTTAACATTATTTAATTAAAAAGTCGTGTAAACAGGAAAGTAGCACAAAAATAGAGTGTTGTGTGGAAGGCTGGTGCTGGCAGCTGGGGACCGGGAACGAGAATTCCTTAGAGGCAGGGAGGGAGGCCTGAGAGTCCAGACCCCCAACTACAGGGCTCTCTGGAACTGATGCCAGGCACCAAACCACTGTGAGGGGCTGAGTGTGAACTCCAGCTGCTTCCCCACAGTCTGTCTGGCGGGGTGACCCCGAGACGTGTACATTTGTACACTTACATGTGCGGAGAGCACCCAGGGCTGACCGTCACCCCCCATCCCCCGTATCACTGAGGCCTGGATTAGGCTGGCATCCGTAGGCAGGTACATCTGGAGTCCTGTTCTACTCACTGCCCTGGCCTGGATTCTCGTTTCCTCAGTTATGTGTCACCTCCCTATGGCCAACCCAGGGGTGCCAGTGCCTGTGGGCTCCATGCTGTGATCCACTCTCTTAGGACCTAATCCACTAGTTTGGCTAAAACAAAAACAAAAACCTGCTCAACCGGCACAACCACATCCTGCCCAACCAGTGGGCACCAGTGGGCTTCAACCTGCTCTCCTAAGGAATGTCTTGGAGGTCTTCATTTTCTCCTCCGACTGACACTCTTCAGTTCATCCAGTTCCTTCTCCATGAGGTGGGATTCGGCGGTGGTCTCAGAAAGCTGGAAGAAAAGTGGCAGACTGTCAGTTACGCCAGCCCGGCCGCGACAGAACGTGCTGGACACCGTTGCTCGGCAGGCGGAGGGCACACGGCAGGCCCAGGTTCAATTCCTGGCCCATCCTAAAAAGCTGGTGGTGTGCACCTGAAGTCCCAGCTACTCAGGAGGCTGAGGCAAGAGCATCACAACACAGCAAGACCCTGTCCAAAACAACACACATACACCCCTACACACACACAGACAAAAATAACACCAGAAAGGCCGTTTCCGGGCTCTGTTTCAGACTTGCAAGGCCAAGCCTGCAGACCGAGGAAAGGCCTCCTGGCATGGCTCCAACACTGCGGCCTCTGCCATGGAAGTCCTCTGTGGGTGGGGAGAAATGATGTGACCACGCAGTGACTGAGGACCCAGGACCGCAGTGCTTGAGTATTCACGATCCACCCCGTCAGCACTTCTGATCACCTGTAGTTGCATGGCACTCTGTAAGGACAGGAGGCCTCAGAGGCTGAAGAAAACACGTGCCAGTGATTTTAAGGCCAAAACATGAGAGTTCTAGCTGCCTCTCTGCTGTGGCCCACCTAATAGCCATTAGGAGAAAAAAACCCTTGAAAAAGAACTTTCCTCATTAGGACCATTTGGTGAACTTTAGGTAGAAGACAATCACGGTAAGGATAGATGGGGCCAGCCACACAGCCCAGTGGCTAAGGGAGCTAGCTTCTACATGGCCAACTGTAGTTCAAATCCCATCCCCAGTCTGGCAGCTTGAGAAACGCATCAGGTTCATGTGCATGCATGCTCAAAATCCTGACAGGATGCAAACATAGAACAAAAGAAAAGATGGCAGTGTGATTATGCCCCACTGGGGTGCTTCTCTCTCTCTGGCAAGCGCATGCATGTACACTCTGGCGATAAAAATATATACAGCTAGGAACAGTGAGATCTCGGCTCTGTGAAAGAAAGTCAGTTTATTGTACAGAGCCACACTTCCTGGGCAACACACCACGCCCAGCTCTCCACTCGGAGGGACTCACTACGCGGTGGACATAAACACTAGGCTCACTTTATTGCCGAAGAAACAAAGTCACAGAGAAGGTGGCCAGTGGTGGAGCTGAGCGAGAAAGCCAGCTGGTTAGCGCCAGAACACACGCTCTTAACCACTATGATGGATGCTCTCCTGCCGCCTCTCACTCCACCTTCACAGCCACCTCCAGGCCCAACAGGTTGCTGGGCCTTTGACAGTCGCAAGACGCGGCCACTGTGGCGTGTGCCCCTCAGCAGGTGTGCACCGCGACTGGACCCCTGACTAGACAGGACTAACTCCTTGCCCTCGTGTGCTGACAGACCCTGCAGACTCGGACGCTGCCTTTACCTCCAGGCTCTGGGATTACGTTCTTGCCCCTCTCCCCCCAACACTAGCCCTGGGGGGTTATGGGTTCTGGCGTCTTTGGATACGAAGCAACATGAGTGACTCCAGATGGAGCCCTCCAAGGGAGAACCGAGACACCCCTGCCCACCACCTCCCTCACCATGTCCAGCAGGATGTCCACTTTCAGCCGCAAGAGATTGTTCTCCTCCTCCAGCTGCTGGTTCCGCCTGCGAAGACGCTGGGCCTCCCTCCTGTCCACACCTCCGCTAATCCCCGTGTCTGGAGGAAGAACCGACCCAGTGAGTGAAAGGGGGGTTTCCTTCCACAATCTCGTTTGACAAAATGCTGGAAAAATAGGCCCACCTGCTATCCACTGGCCATTTTCAAACTTCAGGCTTTGCCCTGCCAGGTTCATCGTGGGAGTTCCGTAGTCAAGGCCCAGCTCCACCTCCCGGGTTGAGCGATCCAGCTGGGGGTGAGAGACTGCGTGAGAGCTCCTGGGGGCCGCAGAACACGGCCCTGGGTCCAGCTCCTCTTCCACTAACCCTATGACCCTTAGGACTTCCCCTTTCTCCCATCATTAACCCGGCATTATTAATATATATGTAACATATAAGAAAGATATATTGTATGTAATATATATTACATATGCGTGTATAAATTTATTTTGGGTTTTTGCCATAGATGGCATGCGCTTACCAGAGAGAGACAGAGAGAGAAAGAGAGAGACAGTGAGAAGGAAAGTGAGAAATCACCCTCCAGGGAGGATGGCCACACCACAATCCCTTCTCCTCTATCCTCCTTCTGGGATTTGGGCAGGCACGCACATGTGCCTAGCACGGTTTCAAGCTGCAAGGTCCAGACCTCAGACTGTGGTTGGCCATGTGGGAGTCCAGCACAGAAATCACCCACCGTGCTACCGGTTGCCCCCCCTTTTAAAAACGTTTATTTAGTGTCCGGTAGGTGGCGTGGTAGTTAAGGGCACTGGATTCTCACATGGTTGACCACAATTAGAGTCCCAGACCTGGTGGCTTGTTTTCTCCTTTTCCCTTTCTCTCTCCTTGGTCAAATTAAAAAATAATAATAGCAAATGGAATTAAATAAACAAATAATTTTTAAAAGTTTATTTTATTTATTATTAGTATTACTTTTTTTTTTTAAGATTTGCTATAAGGCATGTGTGCTCACCACAGAGGGAGAGAGAGAGAGAGAGAGAGAGAGGGAGAGAGGGAGGGAGAGAAGGAAGGAAGGGGAGAGGGAGAGATGGAGTTGGGGGGAGAGAGAGAGAGCAACAAAGCAAGTCGCCAGGTCCGGGACTCCAGCCTCAATTGGTCATGTGGGAATCCAGTGTCTTTTTTTTTTTTTTTTTTTGGGAGGTTTTCGCTACAGGGGGGGGCGCCTCC